CTGAAAGTTTCCACAATCGATTTTTTCTCATCTCGATAAATGGGTGACACTGAGCAAGTCTCGGCTTTTTGACGCACACTTCATTTGCTCAATAATAATTAAGTTCACCAAAAGATCTGTTTCCTTGACTTGAAAGGAATGCAGCTATGAGGAAGATGATTGTAGTAATGCAGGAACTTTCATAGTGTATAAAGAAGTAGAAAAGTACAGTATCGATGTTAAGGTTTGAGTATACGAATATTGGATAATGAATTGGTAATCGACTGTCTTCGCCGATGTGACTGATTTTGCCTTTACTTCAATTGACTAGTTCACTTGCATAGATGACACTCCTTATCCAATTTACCCGATCAGGTGACTATCTCTAGATGTGGAACCTTGTGAAACAATATCTATGTTGAAGACTGTGGTGCTCCAAACCGTAACTCCCCGTCGATCGAAAGCGGTTAAATTTTTGCCCCTGAACAATCGCTAGGCTCGAATCGGTGCACAATAAGCGTGTGTCATGAGTTTCGAAGTCGACTCCGATAATAGGTCATTTGTACCAATGAACGGTTATGGTTTCTTCACCTTTCACTCCGCTCCCCTCCCTTTGCACCAACAAAGCTCACTGACCTCAACCGACGCAGTGGTAAACATTTTGGCTTGATGCGGAACCACCCTTCTGCCTCACATTTCACCCATTTTGTGAAGAGGTTCATCCCCATTTTCATGTCATAGTTACAAACCACACACACCATTGTTTTGGTTACGATCACTAACCTAAGAGCTAAAATTCTGCATCCTGACTACAGGTGAAGCGATAGCGTTCTCTTATTCCCACACTTGCTTTTTGATCCAAATCCTAACCCATTCATTCCTCTTTTAAACGAATCGGAAATTTAATTGTATTTCTCACACACTTCAGTGTACTGAATTGCTCTCCCACGTTTTATACATGATGTCTTAGTCCTTATGCAGTGCCCATCAAGCAAAAAATATGACGCATTAACTAAACAAATCACGGATAACGAGCTTTCTTTTTGTTCTCCTTCGAACGAACGCCTTCGATTTGTTGACTAATTTATATGCAAGAATGCTGCCACAGTGATGACTCGGATACACCTTCTTGGGAAATAGTGAGCTAATATCCACACTGATCATTTGCGTACTTTGATTCGTGTTTCCGATTCACTTTCTGATCCAATAGATGTCAACCGTGGGGGTTCCACAGGGATCTGTGTTAGGCCCACGTCTTTTCCTTGTCTTCATTAATGATCTTCCAGACGTCATCGAACCACAAACTCTGCTGGTTGCAGACAATGCCAAAATATGGAGGACAATAACAATACCAGAAGATTCATTTGATCTTCAGAACGCCCCTGACGAAGCCCACAAATGGTCTGTCTCGAATGATATGGAATTCAACGTTACCAAATGTAGTCTTATCACTACGTCACAATGGTTGTTTTTCTACACTCTCGGACACGAAATTCTGCCTCATGCTCTATCCGAGAAGGATCTAGGAGTAGTCATTCGCGTAGACTTGGGTTGCTCCACAGACTGTTCCAGGGCATCATCCATGGCGGTAAAACAGGTTGGATTGATCAAACGTGTTTTTGGATCGTTTGAGCCGGCTTTATTTCCACGTCTTTTTGCCACATATATCCGTCCATACACCGAGTACTCAATTCAGGCCTGGAACCCATGGCTGCGGTGAGATCAGAAGACACTCGAACATCCGCAGAGAATGGCTGGCTATCAAGATGGTCAAAGGTCTACATTCCAAGACCTATTGCCAAAGATTACAGCTCTTGAAGCTATACTTGTCCCAATATCGTCAAATCAGAGGCGATATGATCTTGCTGTATCAGATTTTCCAACAGCCCAACCATCCATGGAGATCTCTTTTGGTTTTATCAACCAATGTTCATCTCAGAGGTCATCCACTGAAGTTGGCACTCCAAAAGTGCCGTCTGGACTGCAGACGCCATTCATTTGCAGTCAGAGTGTGCAGCAAATGGAACTCTCTACCACCTCAAGTGGTCTGTGCGCCAACATTAGTATCTTTCAAGAAAACATTATGTTTCAACACCCAACTACATAATATATTCCCTTGTGCTCGTCAAAAACTACATTACTATTTTACTTCCATGGACTAAGTGTGATTTTGTAAATCGTGTTCCGAACCAAAGTGTAAAAACCCCATGGGATTTGATAAGCGAAGTCTTTGTAAGTTTTTTCCCATAATAAAAATTTGAATTTGAATTTAATTGCCATTAGTTTGCTCCAGTAATCCCCGGTGTAATTGAATATTCAAATTAGGAAGTGATTTTCACGGTTGTTATGGCGACTATTGGTTCATGGTCGATAAAGAGCACTGCACAGATATTTCATCCCGGTCAGCAGTGCATACATCTTGTGTCCCTATCGGGTCCATTCTAGAACTGCGGAATCAAATTTCATATCACATGTGGGGAATTACCGAACTTCCAGTGAGTGAAACCAAGAATCGAACTTACAGAAAGATCACATGTGATCCCTAGTGTCTGTAAAAGCACTGGGGTTAACCGAAAGAATGTTAAAGTCAAAGTCAAAGGCGAAGTTTTTTATGGGAATTACTTACAGGCTCATGCTTCTCGTGTTCCCATAGGATATTTACACGGTAAATCACTTCTCAGGCGAAAACATCAAGTTCCACAGAGTTCCAGGTAGGATTCGACAGTTCATGCAATATTCAGCGAATCTGCGTTTATTTTTAGTTTTGTAGGGATATGAGGTGTACCAGGGTTTCATCAAGTCTCCGCTTGAAAGATTCAATAGTTGGTACACAAACGACATGAGATGGAAGGGTATTCCAAGTAATGCATACTCTGAATGCAAAAGATTGTCACCGGCATTCCAGTAGACACTTTGGAATCAGTAACTTGAAACGGTGTCCCTCAAGATGTATGTTGTTCCACAACGCAGTCGACATGGATGGTTTGGTTTCTGCAGTATTTGATACATCAAAATCAAGTCTCTTCGAATTTGGCGATACTGAGCAGAATATAGTCCCAATGATCGTAATCTCTCCTCATAGGTGTGGTAGCGCAATCCGCTGACCATCTTGGTGGCAGTTCTTTGTGGACGCTCTAGCATCGTACGATCACGCTGCAACCATGGGCCCCTAGGGGGAAGTCACAATGACAGATTCTACCATCAGCTCCTCGTTGGTCTACACTAAATACAGTATGGATGATGACTGGAGGTTTCCAAACCTGGTG